CATGCTCATCTGCGCTGTCTGTTCATATGGAAACCTTACAACCTTAGAAAAAAAAAGCAAAAATGATATTAACATTTCGTCATGGCTGAACAGTTGTAGTACTACTTCTACATTGCAGAATAGGCTGTCACATCTAGACATGTCTGCAAGGTTAACATGTGTATCCCCTGACACTGATTTGGGAACACAACGTCTGATTACAGGATAGCTGACAGATATATTTTATTAAAATTAAAGCACAATTAAACATTTCATCTCTGCTAATTACTGGCTGTAGAGTTGGCACGATGACCGTGTGCTGTAGAAAATCGGCAACCATAACACATTTTAATGGGCCACAGCTGTCTCACAGCCTGGTAATATTTGCACAGTGCACCAGAAATGTAATTTACGAGACAGAAGCAGATCAGCAATTGGTCAAGAAAAGTTGGTTTTGAATTGAGTTTTCATTATTAACAGAAATCGAGAAGACTACCATTCTGATTATGTCCTGGAATAATCCAGCTAGTTATAGTTTTGATGTGAACCTGAACGCATTTTTGTGAAACACTCACCAGCGACACCATAGACATGCACTTTACTGTAACAACATTTAAAATCAAAAAGAGTTCTTTGACATGAATTCTTAGCAGGGCCTGGGCAAACTTGATGGGTTCGCCCTAAAGTAATCAGCCCCGGTATCCACTTGTGCCAGAGAATAAGCCTGGGAAATTCACCAAAATGTGGGAACAGCTTGGGAACAGATTGATGCAGAAGGGTGAAAGAGGCTGAGAGGGAGTGTATGTGTGGATGTGTTCTCGGAGCTGATTCCAAAGCAAACAAGAGAAAACCTCCTCTAAGTAACTCAGCTCTGCTGTGCTCTGATGCTATGTCCCCTGAGGGCGCGGCCATTGCTTTTTCAATTACATCGAAGTTTGGACGCCAGATCCCTACAAAAAAAAAACAGCTCATGTTTTGAAGAATTCTATTGTTTTCCCTTTTGCCACATTTGAACTCAACACATAAAGATTCTCAATTATTAATATACTTCATCACTATATAACAATTATTCACTATCACACTATTCAGCATGTGACCTTTGAAAGCCATTTGCTGTTTTGTTAGTGTTCCATATGGTGTACTTTCACTAAAGCTTCTTTGAGGTAACCATAATAGCCACAGTGTGGTTTGGCCTGAGCTGGAAGCCTGCAGGCCATGTCGATTGGAGCCCATTGAGGTTAATTTAGTGTTGTTTGTAGGTGACACCTGAAGTCTGTGAAAGACCTGCGAGGCCCGGTGCTGATGGCACTTTTCCTGGACTCCCACAGATTGAACTTGGGCCAGTTCTGGTTCTTTTTGAAGCATTACACCCTGAAGGTCTGTGACCTGTTTTCAGTGACAATACTGAAATAAAAACTGGAAATATATTTTTTTGCAGTCTGGAAAATAAAATTTAGGGTAAGACTATCATACATGTTTGAGTTAGTCTAATGCAAAATAGCAACAATAATGGGCAATGTCTCAGAGCTGAAATGTGACCACAGGCTGGCATACAGTATGTCACTTTGTGCACCGTCCGTGCTGGAGGACGCAGAGGAGAGGGGTGCATCCTTGCAGAATGCCGGCTGTTGTCTTAAAAGTGCAGAACGTTGTTGTAATGCTCCAGGACAAACATTCACAGGACGCACAAAGAATAGAATAGGCTTTCTTTTGACACATAGTCTATTTCTTATTTTTTAATTCTCAATCGTTGGGTCAGCCAAGTGCCAAAAAAATGATTCGATTAGTCAGTAATTCATAGAACTGGAGCTGGTAAGAATTAGCATTCAAGTATCTTCTGCTGTTTGTTCCTCTCTCATCTAGAGGGCTATTGCCTCTTATGTTGAGATGAGCAAACGCTCATTAGGCATTACACTGAAAATGACTGACTGATTATAACTCCCTTTTCTGCTGCCTTAAACAAGGGAGTTTACTAACACTAAGTGGCATGATGTGAATGAACTTTAAAGGAGCATGACAAATGTGCGGTGACGTTACTCATGTCAGTAGTTAATCCTGGACACACTGCTCACCCTCCTGGTCATGCTGTACATATGTCAAGGATAGGGACAACAGCCTCATGCCAACGTCTCATACCAGGCTGAATCTGTTTAAATCAGACCTATGCATGAGCGGACATTTGTGCACACAACCCAACATAAAGTGTTCATTTTATTTCTGTTTAAACCCAGTCATGACTGTGCATGCTTAGGAAAGGTGTGACTTTGACAGCACATGTCAGTGATCTGTATTGCTTCAGATCACTCCACAATATTGTTCACACAGCAGTGTGGTACAGGACCATGAATGTCACCTGCGTATCTCCACCTAGTGTTTTGCCACATGCTACATTGGCCCAATACCTAGCTCTGAAAACAGGTGTTAGCGCGAGTGAGCAGAGGTATTAACACTGCCATCACATGCCCTGACGTGGTCCTGTTAGCTTTTTGACAAGTACAGAATGTGTATGTGTGTGTCGAGGCCAGTGACAGCTGAAGAAGAAGACTGTATTTGTGGAGGAACAGCATGGCTGCAGAGAGGACTGGAGATCCTGAGGGAGGCCTAATGGTTCCACTCCTTCCTGCACAGAGATAAAGACTCATAATAAGCGTGTATGCTCACCATCTGGCCCTGTGCATGTGGCCCTTATGGAGGCGAAAGCAGCACAATCTGTAAACGATCAGGAGCCATGGCGCTCCCCCTGGAGAGACCGCTATGCAATCAAGGTGACAGATGGCAGCACCACTGCTGAGGCCTCATAGAGGAGATCAAAATCACCTTCAATAAACTGTGACTGGAATGGGCACAGGCCCCTCAAAAAGTCAGTTTGTCAGTCAAACTGTGGCAGCTTGCTGAAACAGGGGGGACACGCAGCGGTCCATTGCTGCTTCCTGATTTCCATATTTTCCGTCTGACTGAGCCTGAACTGTGATCTTTCTCCAGTTGTCCTCTCGACTCGTGCCGGCGTGGGCGAGCTGGCTGCCAGGACAAGCAATGCAACTGGGGAAAAATTGAGATCATAATGCAGCTATTATGGGGCAATCAAGGTGGTTGGAGGTGGTGGGAGATTCAGAAAGGTGTTTTAAAAAACAAGACCAAGCCTGACCTTTCATGTTAACATATGACCTATTTTCTACATAAAAGTTATTCTCCTTAAATTCTGAGCTCAGTTAATTTTTAAGCATCTGATAGAGCAGCATGGTCCGGCCTCCGCACAGTGCCTCTATCTTGGTGTTTGTGTCCTGAGCCTGCAGACAGTAATGCTCGGAAATGCTATTTCACACATCCCCTTCATCTGATGCGCAGCTTCTGTCAGTGATGTGAGAAAAACAGCCTGACTCTCCAAGCTTTTTTAGCACCAGTGCAAAAGTTCAAAATTGAAACGCCATCTGTTCAACAAAAAAAAAAAAAAACTAATCTAAGTATAGCTTCCAAAACAGCACTGACTGGAAATACATTATCATCGAATGCTACACTACAATGATATTAATCCTTTGAAGAACAAGCCTTTTGGTGTTAATTCACAGAAAGACACTTGATAAGTAAGTAAGTAAGTAAGCTTTTATTTATATACCGCCTTTCACAGACCAGAGTCACAAAGCGGTTTACAATTGTTATTTTTTTGGGCACTTGTCTCTCACTCCACACAGAGATGGGAGCGGGGTCGCCGGACAGGAGGCGCATGCCAGACCTATTGTACATATTTTTAGTGGTAGGGGAAACCGGAGTACCCGGAGGAAACCTACGCAGACACGGGGAGAACATGCAAACTCCACTCAGAAAGGCCCTGGTCCGGCCGGGATTCGAACCCAGGACCTTCTTGCTGAGAGGCGAGAGTGCTATCCACTCAGCCACCGTGCCGCTGATGCCGAAGAGTCTTTGGACAGCCTCTCAGCTATCTTCACAGTTCAAATTAAATAAGCGGACCTAAGTAGTTTGAGAGGAAACCAATTGTCCTTCATAGTACACCACCCTTTAAGCCCTCACTTAGTTAATTGCCACACTTATTTGATTAATTACACAAGTTCCATTGTGCTCTCTCTTATATCCTCTGCTTTATCGGGGTGTCCGGGAGTACTCTTAATCATCGCCTATCAAACATTTTTACAATTGTTAAATATGTGCACTTGAACTCATGATTGTATCAATTACATTAATTAATACCACAACTTGGATTAAAACAGTAAAGTGGCTTTTAGGTTTCATATCTATAGTGGATTGTCTTTTGACTCCAGTCTTAAATCTTCGTATGTAACGGTGAGGACATAAGGGCATTAGCTTTCTCACTAAGGTTTTAATGTGTAGCAGTGTGGTCTGCTGTCCACCTGCTTTTATTTCTGGCAAAGGTGACTGTGCTTGTATAAAAGGAGGGTCTCCTTCACTGACCTCCATCACCCCTGACGTCAAAAAAGAAGCAAAGCCACGAAACAAAGTCCCAGTTTACGTGCAGTTCTGTAGTTCATGTGTCACTTGCGCCTGGTCGAGTTGGGTTCTTTGCAGTAACAATATTTAGGTATGCTTTCATAAATACGGTTATAGTAAGTACTAGTAGACTGATAGGACTAAAATAAAACAGTTGACTCATCAATTAGCTAGATATTAAAATCAAATCAATTGTGCTCATTCCTCATACACTCCTGAAATATCATTACCACGGATACTATACTCCTTAATCAAAAAGTCTGTGTTACGTTTTAGCTATTTATCTGTTATTTTCTATTTTTTTTTCAACCAACCTGTTTGACCTGTTTTCTACACCAGAGCAGGACCCTGTTAATATAGTTATAGTAGCTCTATCAGGGGACCCGACCCGGACCAATATATGGTCTATGTCCGGACCACACGTTTGAGCATTATCATAAAAAGTTAAATTACCGTTGCTGAGGTTTCCTTCGGGTCGTTGTTGAAGTTATAGACCAGCTTCGAGCAATGGGTTAGTCATTAGACCCAAAGACTGGATAGACCGATATTATTATAGCTCCATGGGATATAAACCAGGAGAGACGTCCACCGCGTGTCGCGCGTGTCGCGCGGGCCCGCGCTGTTTGGCCTCGCGGTAATTATGCACGTGCTTCATTGTGAATGTGATGAGACCTAATCTAGCAGATTATCAACTCCAATGTTTCCCCTGCCTGCATATGATACCAATTTCAATCGTGAGCATGGCTATTATAATTGTTAACTACTGTTAGCTAATTTTACAGCTAAAGTTAGGTTTGCTTACACGGATTTGTCTTGACTTTTTGAGTGTTGATAGCAAGAACTAGCATTTAGCACTATTTACTAGTACTAGCCATAGACTGACTATAGAACATCCATGTATCAGCTATATGATGATATAGTTATAGATAACTTTGACAAGGTCTATTGTGTGTATTATAAGGGTTAGCTGCTGTGCTGGGTTGGGCTACTTAAACTCATGGACCTGGGTTACACTTATAGACTAGTTGTTGTCTCAAGAAAGTACTTTGAGAGTATTTTTGCTGTAATAAAACACTTTAAAATGCATATTGCATGTATTGCAATATTGCATTTATTGCAATAGCAGTAAACAACTAATGAGTTATTAAACCGGTTGAACACCAATATTAAAAACGTGTTGATGCTGCATCACTTCTGTTTTTCCCATGGATCTATGTTTTCCGCATTCACAATGTTGAAACAGCATTTTTATCTTTAACCTTTGTGAGATCTGCAATTAAATTATAAATGTAAGGAGTATTTTGATAGTAACTGTAATCTGAAGTATTTTAAACACTACTTAGTCACTCAAAAAGTAATTACTTGTAAGTTGTAACCGAGCACATTTTAATGAATTTCTCATTCCAGGTATGCAAACTATACAGGACTGACACAAACTCCAGGCTGTGGTTAATTTTTCTCTGCACACTTTATAAACAAGCCCACAAGGCACAAGATGTCATGTGTTGGACTGGCATCCTTGAATTTCAGATAGTTATGAGGTAAGTGTTCTTAGATTATGGACATAGATGAGCACTGGGACCAAATGTTCCCTTTAGGACCTAATGAAGGAAATGTGACAAAAGCCAATTGGGTTGATCTTTGGTGAAATGTCTGGCTTTGGGGTTTTCTATTAAAGCGTATACTGATTCATCTGTGAGCTCACACTGATCCCACTGATTTGTCAGACGAGGATTTTAATTTGTGCTTCACCTGATGGATGCTGGTAATTTATGCTGATTAAAAATAAAACATCATATTATCCTATTTCTCTCCCACCCTTCTGAGGTTTTTCCAGAACGATGTGCGGAGCACTTGATTAGTTGTAATGTGACCACTGGACCCCACGGCTCAAATTTATGTCCTCCATTTGAACTGTGTCTCCATGTGATGTATACATCAGGTTTGTTAATGAAATATGTCGCCAGGAGGCAGTCACTGGCAGTGGCTGTTCAGCACACACACACATAATCATATTTAATATAACCTCTCCAACTTAAACCTTCCCTGTAAGTCCTATTATAATGGATTATTAAATCAAGAAACAAATGTGTACAGTTAATCTTTATAGTAAATATATTGTCTCCTGAAGTATTCTGAGAGCTGTAAATGCTCTTGTGTGTGTTTTAACAATCCAAAATCAATAACCAGGCTCCAGCTACTCCAGCATATTAAGAAAACACCTACAATTACACTTACAGTGGCTTGCAACTTGCTAACACGTTTTCTATATGAAACAAACAAACTGCACAGCATTTTGATGCATGCATTTATTTAGATTTTGAAAATGTCCTGAGGACTTCTGAATGCTCAAATTTTGACCTAACAATTACATAGAGCCCAGCTGTGTGTAATCTACTCGCAGTATGATAGGACTGGAGTTAGATAGTTCTAACGTCATTGTAGAACAGCAGTTCTACAATGACGTTAGAACTATGTTTGGACTGTATTGGTCACTAAACAGCATCATGAAGTCCGAGGAACCCCCTAGAGAGGTCAGGGATGAAGTTGTGGGATGTTCAAAGCAGATATCCCAAGCTTGGAACCTCTCACCCAACACTGTTCAATCCATTGTTTGGAAATGGAAAGTGTATGGCACAATTGCAAACTTTCCAAGAACTAACAAGCCGAACCATAGCCAAGTCATATGGGAGACACAGCTACATGTGTAGTCAACCAAAATCAAACTTTGTACCCCAAATGCAAATACAGCTTGTATTTGTAGATTCTTCATTCAAACATACCTCGGTTCACAGTTGCTGTAACATGTGGAGCTGCATGGCTGACATTGTTCTGATGTGACTGACAGGTGACAGTGTCCTGGGCCACTGTGGGAGCGATGTGCAGGCCGTCAGATGAAGGCCACAGTCTCTGTCATCTCAGTCGGTCTTTGCCTTTGACATGTGTCCTCAGAGCAGTATTGTCGATGAGTGTCATGTGAGAACTGACAAAGACAGCTCCACTTTAAATCTGACCACGTGTCGACCTGTGGTTTGTCAGCGAGGCAGAGACAGAATGCTATTGCATGAAAGGCATGCACATTCTAATAACATTTATTAAAAGACTGTTAGCTTGGCGCCCCTTTACTGTCCACACTGGTCTGTCTGGCCTGCAAAATGCTGACATTTTTCCAAATAAATAATTTCACAAATGAAAAAACAGCATCTGCTTCCCTACAGCTTCACATATGGCCTTTAGTGCTGCTCATGTGAACTGAGCAGGTAACCAGGGCAGGGAGTGGCCTCCTGAGACCCTGAACAGAGGGCCAGACCCCAGAGACCCCCTCTGCAGTGAGGGCTCTTTGGCTCAGCATTCGGACCAGAATATGAGGCCAAGGAATAGTTACTGCCTAACTATCTGATTGGGACAGGAAACCAAGGGTTATTTAGATGTGTGTGAATATAACATTTATTTTTTCCAAGGCAGTATACTGTATATTACACTATCCATTTTCCTCTTCTCTCGTAGCACAGTTCTGATCTTAATACTCTGATGGATCCACAATTTAACACGCAGGTCTCAGGTACTCTGTCCACCACTGGATCACTGCTGTTTTCCTCCCCGCACTGGATATTTGTATTTACAAGACAGAGATGGAATTACAGCATCTGGCTGAAAATAAACATGTCTGATTTAAAATTACACAGAAACGTACTTGCTGCTTATAGAAAAACAAATTAGAAATTAGGTGGTTAAATCATTACCAGTATCAGCCGGTGGGCAACCCTGACTGTAATGATTGCTAATTGGCTTGTTAGTATGAAAACAAAGCAGTGTTTTTTTCTAGACTGAAGGGCTAAATTAGCAGGATACAAACAAGTGGAGGGGAACATGTGAATAAGGATGTTTTTACATGAGCATCTGTGGATACAGCTGCCGCTCGTTCTGACCATCCTGTTTTCTCTTTTCCCTTTCTCTCAGGCTCAAACAAACAAAGGCAAACAAGACAGCTTCTTCCTGCACTCGCTTGGTTGAGTATTCTACACGACACAGCCAGTTCTTGTCTTTCCTGTCTTTTTAATGCCGCAGAAAAAAATCATCATTAGATGGCAGTAACACAAACTTCACTGGCCTTTGTGGATTAAACAAATTATGCTCCTAACTCTCCTTTGATTGTCTGTGTTAAAGACATATGACAAAAGTGTGACCACTGTCTCCATTCCACGGCGTTGAGAGGCAAGAGCATGCCCAAAAAGAAGTTTGTAAAATAAAAGTCAAGCCTCCTTTACAACATGTGCGAGTGCTGACAGCCCCTGTGCTCAGGACAATGCCTGTTTCCTTCACTGCAGGGGGAGACTGCTCCAGGCTCCAGGGTTCTCATGATTACGCAGTCAGATTACGTTTCATGCAGTTGTAGAATTATAGATGTATGACACTGTAACAAGTTTCTGAGAACTCTCTTTTACTCGCACAGCAAGATAAACTAAGGTCATGTTAATTGATAATAATAACAATTTACGATATTACTAATAACACATTTTTGATGCAAAAAGTGGTTGTTCGGTTTATGTTTTTGAACTGTACGGAAATCCTCTTGCAGTGATAGTGCACCTGTCTTGGTAGGCCTCGGTATGAAGCCATGAAATAATTACACTTCATATCAAAAATTAAAGAAGGGGGAAACATGTGATAAATGTAGGGCCAATAAGCAAAAGCTGTTCATGCTCTTTCTATGATTAGTACGTCTACTTGGGTGCTGTAGGTAAGGTGCGGACCATGGGATATTTATTCAAGCCAACTTTTGGCCCATTACAGTTACTGCCCATCTGCCACTGCTGCCACTTGCACTCATGCTAAAGGTTATTCATTTACATATTGGGGTGGGGGATAGTCATCCTCTAATAATTACACAGCTTCAATCAATCAGTGCTTCATGATTACTCTTCTGATAAAACTGCTGCCGCCTTGTAAAGCTCTGTCCTGTACCTTTTGATTTTCTTGCTTCAAAATAGCCCGATAACGGCAAGTAACTTGAAAAAAGGGGATTGTAAATTCTTTGATAAATTATGATGAGGTGCTTGAAATTGATTTATTGTTGTGATCATTAACCATATGGTGCAAACTGTGCCCCCTCCTCACATTCAGAAATCTATGATTACAGGGCCAGGTCGGCACAACCTTTACCTTTGCACCAATAAATCTCAGTCCCATCAAGGAGAAGGCCTGTGTTGTCTGGGCCTTGTGTGCATAAGTGTACATATAATCAATTATGTTCATTCTTTGTTTTAGATTAAAAAAATTAAGGTACTGATATTGAATCCATAAACAATTTTTTACGGGAGGTCTGATCTTCATCATCATCATTATGTGAAAATACATTTGTCATTGAGAGATTACGTTATACATGGAAGTTTAATAGAAGCCATTTAGTACTATGTTTTTATTATAATAAAAGAAGATCCTGTAGCTAGACTAATGGTATTTATAATTATTTGCATGTGACCTGCCAGCATTTACATCCTCATCCGTGTCTGGAGTAATTGTCTGGTGTTTCCCTGTGGGTAAGGGTGGCGTTGCATTAGATTGTAATCTTCAACACTGTTGGCTGACACAAAGTTGATGTGTCACGGTGATTGGCGTGGTGGAGATGACATGACAGAGCTGGTTTTGGGGGACTGACAGATACTTGGCAGGTTAGAGCTCCCCTGTTGGTGCTGCACTGCCTCAGGACAGTCACCTGTCAGCTCAGGTGAAGGCTCGTCATCACTGATGACTGGAAGCAGCAGAGTGAATATAATGGGATGAGCATACTGACATAGATGTGGCCCAGGACTCCTTTTCTGCTGCCCAGATCCTTAAGAACATTTTTAAATTGTTTTTATGTAGATTGCCATTGCTGACCCTTATAGTGCCACGCCACCACCTAACAGTTACAAAATCTCTCTGGGCCACCCTCAACAATTGTTGAAATTTAATTTGGAATAAAATGCCATGTTTTTATATGTTTATGTTTATTTAAATTTAATGCATCTTGTAATTCAGACCAAATAGTTAAATGCATTTGATATAAATCCCAACGCACTATTTTACTCACCAGTGGCTGATAAAAGTGTTTTCCACAGCTTCCCTGGATCAGAATTCCTGTGTTACATGTAGTGGTTCTTTTGACACACACTCTCTAATCCTAACCCATCCATCCATCCATCCATTTTCTTCCCTTTAATCCATTTCTGGGTCAGGGGGGTGGCAGTCAGAGATGCCACCCAAGTCTCATAGCACCAGCCCCTCACTGACCCTCTGCAGGTGGTGAGTCCACAGGAGGACGGCTGCTCTCTGAGTGTGAGCATAGCCTTGATCTTTCAGTGGGGGCTTTGGGCAAAGTGGGGTTAAGTGTCTTGCCCAAGGACACAACGACAGCAGTCATCAGTGGGTGGAGAAGGTGCAGAGGTGGGAATTGAACCCACGACCTTCAGGCTCAAAGGCCAATGCTCTACCAACTGAGCTACTGTCGCCCCTAGCATCGAAACCCTAAACCTAACCCTTAGCATCGAAATTGAACGAGATGTCACTCGTACTAGTGAGTCCAAGGCAAAACTACCAAAATTAAACAATGTGATTTCTCATTAGCCCTATAAAGTCCCTGTGCGTTTGAACCAGTGGGGGCGGGTTCAAAAGTGGACAAAATGACGGGCGCTGACATGCTTGCAATACCGCACCGAGCCAGAGGGCTAGACCCGGAAAGGGAATTATTCAATGCAAATGTACGTATCTTCTGACCTCTCAAAAACGTCTTTACAGGCTGGTCCAAAAGGTCAATGCTGAGGGGAGTGAATTTTTTTTGACAAGTCTAGTTTACTCACTGTGAATTTTTGAAGTCACTCGTTTAAATGAATGGGGCTCGTGCCGGCTGACGCATGCGCAGATGCATTTTTTCCCATTTTCCAGCCCCCGCGGCCATTTTGAAACATTCCATGAAAGCCCAATTTTTGGCCCATTAGTTAGAACGGCGGAGATCGCCGTGACTACGTCCGTTAATACAGTATATACAGTCTATGGTTTGAACATGTCACTTGTGTCAGTGAGAAAGAAAAGAGTTGAGTGAATGGACCCAGTGCATGCTTAAGAAGGGAAAGGTGTCCTGTGATTTTACGCTGCTGCTTACGTTACTGTTGCTCATCTGCCCATCATCGTATTAAGCCCGCCCTGACAAGTTGATCGGTCCGGTTCGGGCATAGTTCTGCTCCAACAGAGAAATGCTAGGCCGAACTTCCCGCTGGAATTTCCGTCATTTGAGGCCACAGGGCATGTTTTTTGTTACATAATAGTGTCACAGTAGTGTAATTTTGATGGATGCTATATATTGCTTCAAAATTGTTTTAAAAATTCTGTCCACTATTGCAACAAGACAATAAATATGGGTCCCAAAATATATGATCAGTTATACATTTATATCAGTTATTGAACGATAAGTTGATTTATAGTAACATTCATGAATTTTGTTACATTTCTTTTCATGTGTCATTTAGAAGCTGGTTTTTCAAAAGTTGTGGCATGGATGGAGTGTGTCCGATTGCAGTTGCTGTTTTGTTGAGTTTCTTCAAAAGCCTGTGCTGCCACACTCAGAGGGGGCACGTGTCCATCAAAGTCAGCCCAATAGCAATCGTGAGCGCTGAGGCCTGCTCCAGAGACGGACGGTTCGGACTGACTCATAGGGAAGCTTAAGTATGTCAATCTCACCAGAGCACACTGCCACAAAGCATCAGCACATATGTAGTGGCAGTACATAAAGACATTCTCAGCACACTGCTACACTTAGCAACAATATGGGGAATTTTCTCTTGCCACAAATATCAAAAATGCCGATTCAGAACATAACCTTTCAAGGCTTTAGAGTAATTAGTTATTTTGCATTGTTGGACCCTTCTAAGTAAAAGGACAGTGGTGATGATCCAGGGGACAATCAACATTCAATAACATTTATGGACATCGGTCATCGGCCCCTTATGAACCAATATCTCTGTGTTTTTTTCTTGTGTTTGAACAGTTTGATTCTCTGATCTATGTTGGCAAATTCATCGGTTTTGTTTAGTCCTCCAAGATAACGACTGTGATTGAGGGCTATACCAAAATACATTGAATGGAATTAAAATTAAGTAATAATAGACGAAAACGCAGGACACATTCTTGGCCAGCTGCAGTTATAATACATTGAGTGGAGAAGAAACAAGCTTGGATTTTTTTTCTCTTCTCATGCATTTAAATCAGCATGTGGATACCAGTCTGGTGCCAACATATTCAGTAGTAACAGGCCTCCATGTCAAATCATCTGCTCTGTCCCTAAGGCCCACAGCATCTATCTCTGAGACCTGTCACTTATGAAATCTGATCTGTATTCATAACTTCTGTCAAAGTTGTACACTGTGGTCCAAGCTGTGAGCCACAGAGCCGGGGGCATGAACATGGAAAATTCTTCTGCTTTAAATTGTGAAACAAAACACATTGATTATGGGGTCGAACATATCCTAGTTCAAAACTAGACTTTCATAACATTTCATAAATAAAATTATAGGCAGATAGTTGATGAAAAGCGTTGATTTTTAAAAACAAAAAAACTGTTTATATAGCGCCTTTCACCAAAATAGATCGATTGAAAACAAAAGGATATTCACCTCGACCTCACAAGCTAAGCAGGTTAATACTGTGATGGGAGAGCTCTGGGACCACCAGGTGCCACAAAGGGGCTGTCTTAGGCAAGACACATCGCCAAATATGTGTCTGGTGCGAGAATGATTGGTGGTGGTCTGCTACTAGATTTATCATTCCGACCAATTTTTTTTTCTCAGAATAAATTGTCGCGATAACCAATAAAAAAACACAACCGTTTATTGATCAGTTGTTAAAATCAAAATATAGATTGGTTAAAACAACCAAAATACAGGTGACATTCAATCTGTTTTTGGAGTGTACTTCATCCCGCAGTGGTCGCGCACCTGGTCCTACTAGATTTATATTAGACTAAACATTTCCACA